AACGTTCGCACATGATTCCGCCTATGCTGGGTAAAGTTTGTGACTGAAGAAATGCAGGGAAAGACTACTCCTATTTCAGCACAGAAGCACAGTTGAGCAGACATTTGGATTCTTGGAACCCACAGTTGGGCCAAGCACGTAGGGATATTGGGGGAGTGGGAGATGATATTTACTAAATACATAAGCTTGCCATCTGTCTTCTATGATTATGAACTTTTCTTTGTGAAATTTTGTTTTGAAACGGGGTCTTGTTGTACCTTGTACTCTCAATGATCCTGGTTGGGCCTCCTGAATGTCCCCATCATCACAATTTGCCCCAGTTTGCAGGATGTCTCACTATACGGTCACGCTCACCCTTGAACTTGAACCCTCCTATCTCAGCCTCCCCCAAATGGCTAGGACTACAGGCATGTAGTACCAAATTTTCAGTAGTGATCAGCACAAAAGTTATCTGTATGAAAGTGTGTGAGATGGGTGTCCAAGCGCAGAGAACTTCTGCCAAGTCTGATGGTATCAATTTGATCACTAAAACCCACAGGGTAGGAGGAAAGTTGATTCCTGAAAATTGTCCTCTGACCTCCACACAAGCGCATGTGAACGAACACAGAGAGAGAGAGAGAGAGAGAGAGAGAGAGAGAGAGAGAGAGAGAGGAGGGAGGGAAGGAAGGAGGGAGGAGAGATCAGAACACACACACAGAGAAAGAGAGAGAGAGAGAGAGAGAGAGAGATCAGAACATACACAGAGACAGAGAGAGAGAGATCAGAACACACACAGAGACACACAGAGAGAGAGATCAGAACACACAGAGACACAGAGAGAGATCAGAACACACACACACACAGAGAGAGAGAGAGAGAGAGAGAGAGAGAGATCAGAACACACACACAGAGATCAGAACACACAGATAGAGAGAGAGAGATCAGAACACACACACACACACACAGAGAGAGAGAGAGAGAGAGAGAGAGAGAAAGAGAGAGATCAGAACACACACAGAGATATAAGAAAATTTTACGTGTATATTTTTGAAAAACCTCTATGAGATGCAGAACCCCACTTCTGTGTTTTCCAAAGACTTTTCCCATAGAATAAAGACAAATGCAGGGTATATGCTATCACCACATTTATTCAAACTTACGTCACATGGCTTCAGTTAATACACATTGAGAAGAACACAGAATTCTAAATATGCATAGGGTACAAAGGAAAACATCAGACAAGCTCAAACTCAAGGATATTCCACAAATAAACCAGTACCTTCAAAATGCCATGCTACCAAGTACAGACAGGCGAGAAACTGCTCCACACCCAGGAAACCAATGAAGTACCCATAAAGTCCACAATTGTGGATCAAATCCAGGACCTACAAAGGACATTTTGAGCAATTTTCCAAAATTTTAATAAGGTCTGCGGAGATGATAAATGAGATCAATGTTGATTTCCCGGTTTTGCCGGTATCTAAATATGCAGAACAACTTAACCAAGAAGCTGCCGCCAACACAGTCCCTGGCTCTGGGGCACATCTGATTAAAACCAGCAATTTGGTGGTTCTCATTCTCAGATTTCAGCTACCTGTAAGCAATCCTTCATGAAAGGACTGAGAGCACGAGGAGGTGTGGGGGTGCTCAAGGTGCAAACTGAGCACAGGGAAAAGAATGCCAGGAAAAGGAGAGGTCGAGGGGGCATTCACCACTCAACTGAGCCACACAAACGCCCCAAACGGCAACCGCGCTATCCAGTCTTGAATTTGAGAAGTAATCAGAAAATAAAGAGGAGCCATGAAGGCTTTCTCACGCTGGCTTTCTCATTTGCCGACAGGAGACAAAGATTCTGGCAGTGCTATCATTAAAAACTCTCTGAGAGCCGGGAGGTACAAAAGGGCAGAGTGCTTGATTCACACGCACAAGGCCCTGGGTTCAAACTCTCAGAGGCATAAATGAAAAAAATAAAAATTTAAGTAAATTTAAAACTAACTGCTAAAAAGTAATTTTAAAAACCCCAAAATATTCAGCATGCTATAACATAGGAGACTCTCAAAACCAAACAAACACAAGAAAAACCTAATCATGATAAACAAAACAAGGCCAAAAAAAAAAACCAAAAAAACAAAAAACAACAACAAAACAGAAACCAACATAAAGACTAACATAAAGGTACCATTTCCATGAACTATGCAGAGGGAAACAAAACAAAGGAGAAACTAGACGAGATGGCCTTAACTACTCTATGCCTCAATTTTCTCACTTCATAGTAATCGCTACGGACTCCAGCAAGGCTCCCAAATATAGTTAAAGCTTAGGAAAATGTGCTGGACTCAACAAGGGCTCAATATGTACATACACAAAATTTGGGAGTAACAAATCTGGTAAATAAATTGCTTTCCGGGTGTAAAGTTTATTAAAATAAACAAACAAACCTAGAAATAACGTAAAGACCCAGAAACAGAAACTACTTCATCCTGAACCTGATCCTTATTCAAAGCAAATAATTTTTTAAAAACAAAGCCCATGGCTTAAAATACTTAGAAGTCTACACATACAAAGTATGAGGACATAGGGAAATGTTTTAAACTCTCCTTCCCCCGCTTAATATCTGAATTCATTCGAATAAGAGACGAGGAAACGTTAAATCTCCTTTCCTTCCATTTCCTCAAGTTGGCATTTTGGTGTATAATTCTGTAATTCCATAATTCTAAACATAAAGGTCCTTTACTAAAAAGTGATTTCTCATTAAGATAATTCTCATTCTAACACCTAATTCTGTAAAAGTCAAACCCAGCTATCTCCCTTGTCTCCCATGTCGCCCACGTCACCCATCACCGCTGTCCTGTGCCATGGAGCTACAAGAGAGGACAAATGGAAGGTGTGGGGTCTTCCTTTCCTTTCAGGACAGGGGCGCAAGCGAAGTCAGCTGCCCCATCACTTTACCAGGCAAGGTAGTGCTTGTTTAGTCTTTTGAAATAACTACTGATTTGAGCACAAGCTGTGCGTCTTTGGTTAGACTATTTTCTCGCCAGCATCAACATTTGCCCTCTCGTATTTATCATCTCTCAGGCCTTTTACAGAGTTTACAGACTTGGTTACTCTGTGATTCTTTTTAAATATTTCCAGGAAAAGATTCTAACATGAGGAGAGAGTACACACAAATTTCAATATTTAATAAATTTATCTTGGTAACATTAAAAGAAGCTTACACTTTAAACTGCATTATAAAAAATACATCAGTCTTCACGTTAGTTTTACATCGAAATATATAATTATTTGAATATTTAAATATAGCCTTTCTTTAAGCAAAAAAAAAAGGGGGGGTTACGCAAAGTCCTAACTACATAAATAATTTCAATGCACAAATGCAAAACCACTCGTTACACAACACTGCACACTGCACACACCAGGACAACTACAGTACAAAGCTACTCACAATACGGAAAAGAGCAAGATTAACAAAATATTCATTTATGGTTGTAATCTTGATGTACCACTATTAAAAGAATATAATGCACTCTTGACTACACAAAATAACCAATTGTTTCAACCTAGCCTGAAAATTATTAACATTTATGTAGATAAAGGGGCACATCTTGCATCCTATCAAACTCTGAAAAATTCACTTCCAATTTAACAAGTTTTATAATTTCAAGTTTCCAAGCTGGCCTAAAATAATATTCCTTATAAGAATGTAATAAACACTTGTGAAGTATTAAAGAGAACCATCATTTCTGTAGCAGACATTTTATATTTGGGTGATGAGAATTCTACATAGGAATCTTTTCCTTGCTCTCCCTTAAAATGGTACTTAAAAGAGTTTCCAGTTTGATGAAGGAAACTGTAACAGCTTTGAACTTGAACTTTAAGAATGATCCTCACTGCAGAACATCATCATGATAGACATGATCTGACATAATTACGTGCTGGGCTATTGGTATGAACTCTCACTTTTAAACAGAGTTGTCTTCCTTAATTCAAATTTGATGATTGTTTCTTTTAAAAAAACAAAAACAAAAAAAACTAGTGTCTCATTGAGCTTTTTTTTAAGGGAATAAAAATTTTTGTATCTAAGGAGGCAAGGTTGAAGAAACTAAACAGGTTACTTGCCAACTAAAAAAACACATTTGTCCACTCTGCAATATAATTAGCATTTATATTTAGAAGTAAAGATATGACAATAGTTATCACCATTAACAACTCACAGGTTAAATAATGGCCCCTGAAACAAAATCACATTGATATTTCACTAATTCTAAGGTAACACAGTTCTATTTCTGAAATCAAGATACAGTTTAACACTGACTCTAGTTTCAATTAAGTATAGTAGTTACACAATAAAGGGAAACTTTGTGTTTCCTTGTAACATCAATGACAGAGAAAGATCAAGGTCTTGACTGAACAAGAGATAGGGTGCATCTGCACCAGCTCAGTCAATGCCCTTAAAGGAATATTCTCGAGTACCTGAGGCTCGCACGGTGTCAAAGCATCTTTTATCTGAACTGCTTAAGAAAAAACGTCAAATTGGTTTAACCTTGAGCTACCTAGTTTAAGATAACTAGATAGTTTAAGATAAACTGATTGATGTATAAATTGTTTTTCACTTGTAAAATGGGTCTCCATTCAGTTAAGTTACTAGTTTAAGTTTTCTGAAATGTTAAAGTTTTTCACTAATGACAATTAATAGCCAGCCGACACGCTATTATCAAATCAGTAGCTTCAGTTCGGTACGTTAAAATATCTGAAATATTAGTAAGATGACAAATTTACCCAGTAAAGAGGAAAAGGTAGTTTAAAAGTCTAGTCATATCAGTAAAATCTTTTTCCGTATAAGGTTACTAATAACACTGAGCAGCTCTCTCTCTCTCTCTCTCTCTCTCTCTCTCTCTCTCTCTCTCTCTCTGTGCGTGTGTGTGTGTGTGTGTGTGTGTGTGTGTGTGTGTGTAACTGAGGAAAGCTATAGACTTGCAGGTCCAATGTAAATGAAGGAGAAAGAATTCCTGTTGTCTATAAAAATCACCAGGCACTTAAAAACTGGATGAAATAATTATTTCATGGAATGCCTTTAGAAGAAAAAATATATTTTTGTGATCATTCAAGTCAATCACATTCAAAACTTGAGAAAGCACAGTGTCATTGTTTGATTTATCCAGTCCGAATCCTTGTGATGATTCGACTTGGAAGCATGGTGACTAAGAAGATATCTGTCCATTTGTTTAAAGGTGGCGTTGATAAGTTTGCTGTGTCCATTCTTGCAGTGTTATAACTTTTTGGCACGAAAGGTTTTCAGAGGAGATGAATATGAACATGAGTTAAGAGAAAAAATTCTATCTACTGTGCTAAATTATAAGACAAATTAAGGTGAAGTTCTTCCACAGAAACGGGACAAAGTTTGCTTTTAAATCTTTAAAAGAAAAAAAAAGGACCCTAAACACTAATTTTAAATGAATATAAAATCTCTGAAAAATAATATCTGTAGCAAAATAGTGTAAGGTCAGGAGTCCAAAGGTGTTCCGTCCAGTGAAGGACTGATGTCGCTCGGCTACGCTTTCACTTGGCCTCACTGCTTCGACTTGCTTGCAAGCCGCGTCACCATCCTGTCGGAGCAGGAGGCGGAACTTGAGCTTCTCAGGTCATACTCTCTCACAGGAAGAAGCTTCTTTCTGCGGTAGTACTTTTTCCGGTAGCGCCTTCTTCCTGCAGCCTCGGGAAGACTGGCAGGCAGCTCAGCGGGCCCTGCAGCGGTGCTTGGCTGGGGCTCTTCAGGCACGGCCGGGCTGATGGAGAGGCTCAGCCGGGAGCGCGCTTCTTCGGCTGCTTTCTTGACCTCCTTTATCTTCCTGGCGACCATCTTCTTCTTCCTCAGCTGCTTTCGAATAAGAACAGTCTTTGACTGTCGGTTCCTGCGCACACCAGGGCCTCTGTTACCGTACTTCCTAAGGATATCGTTCGCTTTCAGCTGAATCCACATAGCCAGTTTTTCTGAAGCTAGTTTTGATTTTTTCCGGAGAACCACTGTTTTGTAAGCATTTTTGAGTAAACACATTTTGAGATGTGTAGCTGCCATCTTCTTTTTCCAAAATTTCTTTTGATTTTTACTGTCCAAAAGCTCCTTTTTGATTGATTTGAGAAACATTTTGGCACTGTCACGATTCAAACGAGTCTGCTGGGAATTAGCATCGGGAGTTTCAGGAATTTCAGCAGCGCCCGTAGCCGGCTTTTCTGCAGATGCAGACTGATCCTCGAGGAACCTTTGAATCGTTCTTTTCTTGGGCGCTACCATGATGGATGCCGAAGGCACGCTCGGCCTGCTGGTGCTGGCGCTGGTGCTGGCGCTGGCGCCGCTCTGACCGGGGTCCCCGCCAACTCTCCAAGCTGTGTCACCGTACGGTCCCATCGGGTTCTGCGGAGCATTAATCACGGTTGTCGTAGGTGGACGGCTGGGAGCGGCTTGCGAGGCCCCGTCGCTGTCAGGCTTCGCCTTAGGTTGGCTCAAAGACTGACCTTCCGTCATACACAGAGAGGAGAAAATGCAGACCAAGGAATTGGGCTGCACGGGCGCCGTCGGGGCTGCAGGCGACTCGCTGCTCCCACTCGGGGCTTTTTCCTTTCTCTGGCTGTCATAGTAGAAATGCTTCTTTCTCGGCAACTCTCCCTCTTGTCCGGCCATCTTTCTTTTCTTCCCAGGACTTGCTTGGGTTCCAGGCCTGACTCCTTCCACCCGGTTCTGAGAAGCCACACTGCGGCCCTCCGCGGGGGCACAGGATGGTTTGTCCTCGGCGTCTCCAGCGTCACCTTCACTGTGCACAGATGCGGCGTGAACCGATGCGGCGTGAACCGAAGCGGCGCCCCTCTCGGTCTCGGGGCAACCGTGGTAGTAACCGTGGAGATGACCGTGAAAGTCCTGTGTGTGTATTTCCGCCTCATCTCCGCTCACCTGCGACTGAGTTTCTTCAACAAATGGCGGAGGGACTTGAGGTGAGGCTTCATGAACCAGTTCATTAGGATCCCCTTCTGCGTGCTCCTTTGCATGCTCCTCTGCATGCTCCTCTGCATGCTCCTCTGCATACTCTTGTGCATTCTCCTCTGCATTCCCTTGTGCATGTTCCTGTGCAGGCTCCTGTGCATTCCCTTGTGCATGTTCCTGTGCAGGCTCCTGTGCATTCCCTTGTGCATGTTCCTGTGCAGGCTCCTGTGCATTCCCTTGTGCATGTTCTTGTGCATACTCCTGAGCATTCCCTTCTACATGTTCCTGTGCATACTCCTGAGCATTCCCTTCTACATGTTCCTGTGCATACTCCTGTGCATTCCCTTCTGCATGTTCCTGTGCATACTCCTGTGCATTCCCTTCTGCATGTTCCTGTGCAGGCGCCTGTGCATTCCCTTCTGCATGTTCCTGTGCAGGCGCCTGTGCATTCCCTTCTGCATTCTCCTGTGGAGGCGCCTGTGCATTCCCTTCTGCATTCTCCTGTGGAGGCGCCTGTGCATTCCCTTCTGCATTCTCCTGAGCATTCCCTCCTGCAGGTGCCTGTGCAGGCTCTTGTGCATACTCCTGTGCATTCCCTCCTGCAAACCCCTGTGCATACTCTCGTGCAAACTCTCGTGCATACGCTTGTGCATATGCTTGTGCATACTCTTGTGCATATGCTTGTGCATACCTTTGTGCATACTCTTGTGCATACGCTTGTGCATACCTTTGTGCATACCCCTCAGCATACTCTTGTGCATACCCTTGTGCAAACCCTTGTGCATACACTTGTGCATACTCTCGTGCATACCCTTCTGCATACACTTGCGCATACTCGCGTGCATACTCTTCTGCATACGCTTGCGCATACTCTTCTGGGTACCAAGGATATGGTAGATATTCGTACTTGGTTACTCTCATGTCAAAAGTTACCTTCTTAAGGTCGCGGCTTTTCTTAGCAGGCTGAGGTTGGTCAGGGTCCGGATCAGGTCCATCAGCCCGACGACGCTCGGGTTCTGGATCTGCATCTGGTATCTTCAAAGGGATGTGCTTCACAGTGGTCGGGCGGATCACCGACACAGCACGGGCAGCATGCCGAGCTGCAAAACTGCTTGATGCCCAGCTCCTGTCTCGAAAGGCAACATTTCTTGGAACGTCCCAAAAACTGGGGCCTTGGGCTGGTTCCTGCGGCTGGCAAATCACTGGCCGAGTTGTATCTTCCAGACTGCAGCTTCTGCTAGAGCAGTGAGGCTGGGGGCTCTGCTCCTCTGGGGCAGCACAGACACGGTCAGACACGTGGCACTGGCTGGTAGAGGGCTGATCAGAGGAATCAGCAGGGAAACTGAGTTCATGACCACAAGACGGACAAGTGGGATCTCCCAGAATAATGTAGTCGTTGTTCCGATTTATTATTCTGAAACTTTCCTTGGATTGATTTGTCGCTGACTGAGAGGCTTCATAATAACAACGGCAGAATCTACAGTAGGACCTTCCCATTGCTGCAGGCCCAGCAGAATCTGTATTTGTATCATTGGTTTCTAGCTGAAGAGAAATATTTGAATCAGAAATGACTTCCCGGTCACAATCACTGTCACTGGGCACAACATTCAACAGCACCACCTGTGGGGATTCTGCTTCTCCGTCGGACGTTTGAGGCTGGTTAACTACTATCTGAAAAGACACATCAGAGTCGTACAGCACTGCAGGCTCGCTAGACCCCGCTGTGACAAGCTCATTCCTCTCGGGGTCTGCTTCTCCGCAAAACACTGGAGGTAGGCCAACGTCGGACTGCAGATGAGAACCGGAACGGCACACTGCTTCAGAACAATATGGCTGAAAGGCCTCATTTTCTACATCATTCTGATTCTCTGTTTGCACGTCTACTTCTCTGACAGACACACTGTCCACAGATGGAGCTGTCACACACTGAACAGGATCATCAGGGTAGTAAGTTGGTTCTAAATCAACGAGCTTGTAGCTCTTATCTTCCAGGTAAATACAGTCTTCCTTCAGATTCATTTCCTGGACAGGTTTTTGAAGACAGCCTGCTACTGACTGACAAGGATCACTGGGATCAGCACCCATTTCAGGACCATCACAGGGATCAATGCTCGCTTCAGGCAAATGTCGTGGCTTCTGAATTACTGAGCAAAAAATGACATTTGAAATGGGCACCACTGCAGAGACGCAGGGCTCACAGTCACTATCATGCGGACTAACTTGTCCCCTCAGTAAATTTATTTCTTGAACAGACTCTTGAGCTGTATTGCGCGCAGACTGGAGCGGTTCGTCAGGATGGAAGTTTATTGTTTCACTAGATTCAACAGTGTTATCTTCCAAATCACCGCAGTCTTCCCAGCAGCTGATCTCCTCAACTACTTCAACTTCAGTTTGGCCAGCCAATGACTGAGGGACACTGGAAGCACTTGTGACTCCAAAACCCTGCACTTCATCCCCCTCACCTTCCAGGTCATCTTTCTCCATCTGACCTCTGTTTTCATGACTGTCACTGTGCTGGTCAGCCTCCGGCTGGACAGAGTAGTTAGGATCGCAGCTTACTTCAGAATCACGAGACCCGTGATTCCTACCTTCAAGTTCAGCGTGTTCAGGCTCCAAAACAGCTGTTTCCGGTGGTTCAGCTATTGACTGAACGGAGACATCCAAATCCAAGTTTGTTGCAGAACTGGCATCCTGGCTGTTGTTTTCCAAGGACATTTGATCGGTACTATCAAGATTTATTTGTTTAAGAGCTAGTTCAAGTTGATCCATTGCAGAAGGAAAAGAGGCAGTGGAATCATGTATTAGTTTTGAATAGATAAGTTCACTGATCTTCTTTTCGAGAACCTTTGCCTCTTCTTTCCACTCGTTCATCTTTGTCATCACATCGTCCTCTTGAGACAGTGAGTCAAAGTGGCCAGCAGAATCAGCATCTGCTTCAGAATCACCAGGTCTGCTGTTTGTGTCTTCCGGTTCAACATGGTTTTCGTTCACAGCTAGCTGAGGTTGGCTGATGTCTGGATCAAGACAACCAGTAGCACTGAGATTTCCTCCAGTTCCTCTAGGCTCAGTACTTTCATCTTTTGAGTCAACATGGTCCCCTTTCCAAGTAGCTGGCTGACAGTCGCTGTACTCATCGTCACTCCTGACTTCCTCCAGATGCTTCGTCTTTCTCTTGGCTTTCTTCCCTACATAAGGTTCTGCCACTGGATGAGAAGCAGAAGAAGCGGAGTTGATTTCAGAATGAGATTCTGCACTTTGACTTGGCAACTGAGCATGCGTCTCTTGCTGAGGGCATACATTTTCGATAGTTACTTCACCTTTGCGAATGACTGACTGAAAGGGGGTATGAGAATCAAGTCCTGTTTCAGAAACACGAACTGTCATGGGATCTTCAGAACATCCAGGCTTTGAGTGAGGAGTATCGCAATTAAAACTTAGTTCAGAATCAGTAGGCTCATTTTCCTTTTGTTGTATGTGTACCTGCTCTTCTTTAGGAGAATTTGTCTTTTTAGTATTAGAATTAGTATTAGAATCCAAACATATCTCAGAACCACTGGGGTTGTCATCCTTCCCTTCTAAGGGAGCGCTTTCTTCTTCCTGAATGATTACTTCAGGGTGATCGTTTCCTGAATGAAGAGGAATATCAGAATCATATGTTATTTCAGAAACACAAGATTCATAACTCTTATTTTCCAGATCAACAGGTTCCTCCTCATAAACAGCTACTCGAAGTTGGTCAGCTACTGAGTCATCGGGAATGTCGGAATCAAAAGTTATGTCAGAGCTACTTGACACACAGCTCTCTTCGTCCAGGTCAAAGTCATCTTCGTTCAGTCCTTCAGCATCCAGCAGAGAATGCTCAGTAGCTGACAGAAGAGGGGAATCGGAATCAAATGTCAACTCAGAACTGGAGTAGGCACAGCTCTTAGCGTCCATGTCAGCATTTAACTCATCAAGATTTACTTCATCCCAAGCCCCTTGAGGTTCATCATTAGCTGACTGATAAGAAGCATGGGAATCAAAACTTAGATTAGAAATGCCAGAGTGAACACTCTGATCCTCTAGGTCAACATCTATGTCCTCAGGGTTTACTGGAGATTGGTCAGCCTCTAATTGAGCATCAGCAAGAAAACCCATTTCAGGACCATGAGACTCACAGTTCATATCTCCACGGCTGGTACTCTGGCTGGGAACACTGAGTTCTTCTGCTTCTCTCTGGGGCTCATCATGCTCAGGACGTGCACCAGCACTGCTGGGTTGGCGTTCATCTTGCTGTTGGGCATCTCTGCCTCTCGGGCTTCTTTCTTGAGCAGGCATTTGGGGAGCCGCATCACTATCAGAACTGAAGCTACTTGACCCATAGTTCTCATCAACCAGGTGTGCATGGGTGGCCTGCAGAGGTTGTTGTTGTCCCACTGCTGCTGGAATCTCATCAGCTGAGGACCCAGAATCCTCCCATGGTTCAGAGCTGCCGCTTCCATAGCTGTCTACCAAGTGGACAGCCATCTGTGTAGGAAGGTTTGCTGCCGCCAGCAGTGGGGGACCGCGACTGGTGGACGGAAGAGAGTCCTCGCCATCGAAATTCACTTCAGAGCCGCTAGACTCGTAGCTTTCATCAACCAAACGGATGAGCCGTGTGTTCTGTGTGATCACTTGAGAACGGTTGGTATGCCCATGACGGGAACTGCTGCCATTACCGGAAGTTGCTCCGGAAACAGTAGGTGTTTCATCATTAGGCTGGACATCAGCCTGCGCTTCTTCTGATTCGTTTATTTCTATAGGGCTCAGTTCAGACAGCAGACTCGGTGACTGGCAAGAGGACGCACAATCAAAACTCATGTCAGAACCTCCAGACTCATAGCTCTCATACTCTAGGTCAACCTCCTCCTCCTCCTCCTCCTCCTCCTCCTCTTCTTCCTCTTCCTCCAAATGACTTAAGTCATTTACGGCAGCTTGGGAATGACCAGGTACTGGCTGAAGAGAGCCACGATCGAGCTGCACTTCAGAACTCACCAAGCACGTTTGTCTCAGAAGTGATGGCCTGTTAAGAACCCAAGTTGCTTCTTCTTGGGGATGAACTACATTTGAACGAGATGCCTCACGACGCTTTGGAATGGCACCTTCACGGGCTGCATCTGAGGGTGTGTCAGTCTCACTGAGGTTTCTTACTGCGCCTGCCCCTGACTCAGAAGACGACTCAACTCTCAGAGAACAAAGCTCGGCACCTGTTAGCTCACGCACTCGTACAACAGGGGAAAAAGACGCACCCTTAGCTCTGAGATCTCTCTGTGCAAGCAATTTGTCTAAATTAATACTTAAAGGTTTCTTTTTTGGATCTTTTGCTTTGGGTCGAGACTGTGAATTGCTAGAGCCCTGATCTGGGGGGTCAAAGTATGTGTCAAGGTTCTCTGCGTCACAAGCTGGAAAGGAATCTGAAGCCACTGCCAGTGCTAACCGGGGAACACTGTTAGCTGCAACTGGTCTCTCGACAGAGCCTCTAGGCAAAGAGCTGGCAGGAGCATTACAGATCACCGGGGGACGCACTAACCCTTCTCCTCTAGCTGTAGCCTGAACACCACCAACTGCATTTACTGTTTTCACACCACTCTCAACCCTACGAGCCAACTCCAAGGACTGCTGCTGCCCCCGCTCCAGCCTTTGAATAACCGATGGTCGAACTGGAACCTCTGCACATTCCTGAGAAGTGCCAGGCCTACACTCTATCTCTTCCACAGATTCCGAATCCTCGGAGAGCATCTCTCCGCTGCTCTCTTCACTGTCGTCCTCCTTTTCATCCGAATCATCCAAAACAATCACTTCCGGTGACTCAGCTGCTGCTGGTGCTGCTGCTGCTTCTGGTGGTGGTGGTGCTGCTGCTGCTGCCTCATTTGGTGCAGAGCTAAAATGAATGAGGAAAAAACATTAAAATACCTTAGTTTTTTTGCTTAGAATTCATGGTATTATTTTCCAGTATGGATCATTGTTAGTGAAAAAAGAACATAAATAATCACTCCAGATTGTACACTTTAGGATGTTAACTGGTATAGAAGACGCAGTAAGTCCACCAATTGCTATTTCATAAACAAATGGCTTGTGAACATACAGAAATGTAAATGAATCCCTGTATCCATTTTTCAGTTATCACAATAAATGTCGCAAAGTTTGACCCAGAGACTTAGGATGTCACTCAGTTGGTAAAGCGCTTGCCAAGTATGTGCAAGACCCTGGGTTTGATACCCAGGAACCTCAGTTTTTAAGAGTAATGTCAAACAAGACAAATTATACAGTTAACTCTATCTACAGATGCACACGTAAGAAGCTAGCCCTAGGGCTGGCAAAATAACTCAGAGGTTAAGAGTGCTGGCTGCTCTTTCAGAGGTCCTGAGTTCAATTCCCAACAACCATATGGTGCCTCTCAACCATCTCAAGTGAGATCTGGTGTCCTCCTCTAGCCTGCAGGCACCAGAACGCTGTGTACACAATAAATAAATAAATCTTAAAAAAAGAGAGAAGAAGGAGGGAGGAGGAGGAGGGGGAAGAGTAGGAGGAGAAGGAGGAGGAGGAGAAGAAGAAGAAAAGAAGAAGAAGAAGAAGAAGAAGAAGAAGAAGAAGAGGAAGAGGAAGAAGAAGAGGAGGAAGAGGAGGAAGAGGAAGGAAGGAAGGAAGGAAGGAAAAAGAAGAAGGAAGAAGAAGTAGTAGTAGTAGTGACCTCAACAGGAATACAGGAAATATGTATAATATGTATTGGTCTCCTTTTTTTAAAAGGTATTAATCTGGAAATCTTAGTTTGAAAACCGAATTTAAAAATAACTAAAGAAGCTAGGTGGTGGTGTCACGCACCTTTAATCCCAGAACTCAGGAAGCAGAGGTAGGGGGATCTATGAATTCGAGGCCAGCCTCGTCTACAGAATGAGTTCCAGGAGACAGTCAATGCTACACAGAGAAACCCTGTCTTAAAAAAAAATTACTCAAGGAATTTGAACAAGTTATAGACAGGTTATGAACAAGTATTATCAGTTCATTAATTACAACAAATGTACCAGACTAATGGTGAGGCATTTAATATTAGATAAATTCAGTTAAGTCATATTATAAAGACCCTCTTTTTGGGGGAAACTGGGTCTTACTGTGTAGCCCTGCTGTGGTGGAACTCACTCTGTAGCCCAGGCTGGCCTCAAGCAGAGATCCACCTGACTCTCCCTTCGAGTACTGGAATTAAAGGTGTGTATCACTATGCCTGACTTTATAAAAACTCTCTTTATTAGCACTTTTTAATTTTTCTGTTACAATTTTCTTTAGAAGACTCCAGCCTAAAGCTGGAGGAGACGCTGCAGTGGTAGAGGCTTGAGAACCAGGAGCAGGCAGCACATCTAAGGCACCAGCGTAGGACCCCAGGGGGTTCCAGGCTGAGGGAGACCATCTCAAAAAATAAGGGGGTGAGACAAAGACACTCAGCACCAAGCTGTAGCCTGTTGCACACACATATAATCCTAAAGTTTAGCAACAGCAAGGTGGCAAACGTCTGCAATCTCAGAACTCCAGAGACTTGGAGCATATCAAGGCTGTGTTGGGATGTACTCAGACACAACAAACGGGTGCTCACTCTGGCAGCAGCACACTGAAACAGGAATGACCCTGCAGGACGATGTGCAAACCTGTGAGGGATTTCCTATTCTTGTGTTTTTGCTATTGGTATTTTTTACATTAAATATTTTTAAAATATGTAATAAAATAATGTGTTACCATAAAAAGTAATAAACAAATCCCTAGCACTTTAGTAACCAAATGTTTCTAAATGTCTATAGTAATTAGAAACTACAGCTGGGTGTGGTAGTGCATTCTTTCAATACCAACACGTGGGAGGCCATGGCCGGTGGAGTTCTGTGAATCTGAGGCCAGCCTGGTCTACATACCAAGTTCTTGGTCAGCCAGGTTTTTAGACTTGAGAAATGCCACATTTGTCTAAAAGCATGTGTGCATGGATCAGCAACGGCTTTGGCATTTTTCTAAAGACTTACTTTTTACGTGTGGTTTTTGCCTGCATGCATGTATGTGCACATGTATGTACCACATGTATGTGTGTGCACCACATGTGTGCCTGATATCTGTAGAGAACAGAAGACACAGTATAGCCCTTAGAAGTAGAATTACAGGTGTTTGTGAGCTACCTGATGTGAGTGCTGTGAACCAAAGGTGGCTCTCTGAAAGCACAGCAAGTGCTTTTAGCCACAAGTCCCTATGCTGCTCTTTTATTAACCTCTCAGAAGTAATACTGTTTTCATTCCATAAGTCACTGCAGTGGTTCCCATACACTCGTGTGTTGACCGCTTGGCCAACAGGGAGTGGCACAATAAATCAGGAGGTGTGGCCTTGTGGAGGAAGTGTGTCACTGTAGTGGCAGGCTTTGTGGTCTCAGATGCTCAAGTTACACCCAGTAGGACACACTCCTGCTGACTATGGATCAGGATGTAGAACTCTGAGCTCTTTCTCCAGCACCATGTCTGCCTGCATGCTGCCATGATGATAATAGACTAAACCTCTGAAACTGTAAGCCACCCCAATTAAATGTTTTCCTTTATGGTCTCTCTTCGCAGCAATAGAAACCCAAACTAAAAGTCATCTTTTTTAAAGTGTTTTAGATTTATTTTATGTGCACATATCTAAGAGCACCATGTGTGTGCCTTGTGACTGCTGAAGTCAGAAGAGGGTACTGATCTCATGGAACTGGAGTGAGAGTTGGCTGTAAGCCATCAGGGATGCTGGGAACTGACTCGGGGTCCTCTGCAGGAGCAGTTGATTTCTCTTCGTTGCTGAGCCCTCACTCAAGCCCCTTGGTAATTTATTTTATTTGGATTGTGGGTAATAAACATAATTGTTATAGCACAAATTCTAATTGGCCTTAATAACTAACTTAATTAGAAGAGGTGATAGTTCATCAAGCAGCATGGCCATTTCATTTAAACTAACCTATAAAACTAACAAATGCTTTTCCCTTGATCAGATATAACTTGCCAAAAGAGAACCTCCCCAAAATTAGAGTTGGGGAAGGGTTTTGTTTCTGGCTTTTCAGGAGAATAAAGGTATACAACTAAGGAATCCAAAGACCACTGGACAAATGAGACGTCTGAAGAAAAATGGCAAATCATTCAGAAAAAAATATCCCAAGAAAAAGAGTAAACTGGCCTATTGGTATATCACATTTCCACCAAGATAAAATTTCATAAATCTTCCCAAATGTTTGTTTCTGCTGTTCTCTACAGACATGTAATGCAAATGGTCTTTCTGTAGTCCCAGTCCAGTTAAAGATTAAAGCTGGCTTTGGTGTTTGAGTGCCACTCTCTCCTTCTCTAAACCCCAGGATGCTTGCTTGTTAAGATAAAATCGTTAGTACCCAAGGCCACCCCCAGCCTCGCCCCAGTGTCTCAAAGGTCATCGGCTGAAGGAGGTTCCCCAGCAGCACAACACTTTGGACTCACCAAGATAGGATAGATGATGGAGTATTTTCTCTGAATTTGTCAAATGCAAATGGATTAGACATTGCAGATGTGCTTACTGCCTGTATATATTGTATAGTTATTGTGCTTACTGCATGTAGTTTTTCTTATATTAGTTATAACCTTCTTTTTTCATTTTAGACAAAAAGAGGAAAATGTAGTGATACTTTGTGTTTTAACAAATAAAACTTGACTGAAGATCAGAGTGCAGAGCTAAACCACTAGAGGCCAGGCGGTGGTGGCTCACACCTTTAATCCCAGGATTTGGGAGTCCCAAGACTTTAATCCCAGCACTAGGGAAGTGGAGACAGGAAGGGATATGGCTGGCAGGAGAGAGGAATATAAGGAGGGAGGAGACAAGAGCTCACTGCAGTCTGAGGTTTGGTGGAGACAGACAGCAGTCTGGAGATGCAATCTGAGAACAGGATCACTCCTGCAGTTTGAGCATTGATAGAGGTAAAAGAACTCTCTAGTAGCTGTCTGCGTTGTTTCTCTGATCTTCAGTATTAACCCCTATATCTGACTCTGGGTTTTATTATTAAGACCAATTAGAATTCGTGCTACAAACTCATCAAAATAACATTACCCTATAGTTAAAAACACAATTTTGACATCTAATCAATGAAATGATAATGCAGGAATCACTTTCACCTTTTTCAAAACTCTACATTACCTTCATTTGCTTTGTTTTTGGTTTTCAAGACAGGGTTTCTCTTTGTAGCCGGGCTGTCTTGGAACTTGCTCTGTAGACCAGGCTGGCCTCAAACACAGAGATCTGCCTACCTCTGCCTCCTGAGTTCAAAGGATTCAGTCCTTCTAGGGTTGAAGGAGTGCACCACCACCACCTGGCTGCCTTATTTGTTTTGTAAGTAAATCTTTAGCAAGGAGAACCTCTGAGTCTGAGGCCAGCCTGTTCCAGACAGGCTCCAAAGCTACACAGAGAAACCCTATCTCACAAAAATAAATAAAGAAAGAAATAAAGAAAGAAAGGAGGGAGGGAGGGAGGGAGGGAAAGAAAAGGGGGGGCAATACAGAAAATGGAAGGAACCAAAAATAAAAGAAGGTGAAAAGAGAACAATATGGCAACAACCACCTAGAAGCTTCTATTTGCATCTGTATTTCTATCTATCTGTATTTAATAGCAACAAACCATAATTCAATTTCGAGTCATTTGTCACTTTACCACACCAAAAAAAAAAAAAAAAAAAAAAACTTGTACATAGCTCTTGAGCTAAAGGGGAACTTTAGGGCCAGTGAAACGGTTCAGTGGGTAAATTGGCACTGCTTTAATCAGACAAGTCAATCAAGTTACCGTCATCCATGTCTGAAGAATGAACTAGCAGGAGTGGAGGCACAAAGGCAGTAGGGGGTGAATGCAAGCCAAACGTCATAATGAAAGCCAGTATTTTCTGTATCCTAAATGAGTTTAGTAATTAAAAGAAATTACCACCAATTAGACATGTCAATATCTTGTGCCCCAAAGGATACAAGCTCAGCTTTGAGGAATTACTGCCCAGATGTATCCTCTTAGTTTAGTCATGGGGAAACACCAGACAAGTCCAAACCGGGCTGCTGGTCATAAAATAAATACAGCGCTCTTAAGAGGTGTCATAGACTTAGTGAGTTAATAAGTAATAGTGAAATCACAAAGTTGGAGGGCGACTAAGGAGACAGGGCATTCAGGACAGCGTGTGAGCACTGGTGGTCCCAGCACAGGGCCAGAGCATGCCCAGAGTACAACTACGGAGAAGCCAGCAGCATCCATAAGAGTGGTTCCTAGTTTAATTGTACGTTCAGGGCTCAAGTTTTTCTATCCGTTTTACAATGTGTTTGGTAAGTCTGATATATTATCCCAAAATGAAAAGTTAAAAAAATAAAGCCTTTACAGCAGTGGGTTCTCAACCCTCCTACTGCTGTGACCCTTTGATGTAGTTCACGTTGTGGTGACCCCCAACCATTCAATTATTTTTTTTTTTTTTTTGGTTTTTCGAGACAGGGTTTCTCTGTGGTTTTGGAGCCTGTCCTGGAACTAGCTCTTGTAGACCAGGCTGGTCTCGAACTCACAAAGATCCGCCTGCCTCTGCCTCCCAAGTGCTGGGATTAATTTTTGTTGCTACTTCGTAACTTTAATATTTCTACTGTTATGAATCCTTGTTTTCATTAATTTATTTTTTATGAGTGCTCTGTCTGCATGTGCACCTGCACACCAGAAAAGAGCAGCAGATCCCATTATAGATGCTGTGAGCCACCATGTGGGTGCTGGGAATTGAACTCAGGACCTCTGCAAGAGCAGCCAGTGCATCTTAGCCACCTCTCCAGTCCCTACTGCTATGAATCTGTATTTTCTGTTTGTCTTAGGTGACCCTGGTGAAAGGGCCCTTTGACCCCCAAAGAGGTCATGACCTATATTTTGAGACCTGCTGATTTATAATGATCTATATACTCTCGCCTAGAAGTTCAAGCCCTATGAAGTTAAACTACAGAAACAGTTGCTGTGATGACTTGAATGACAATGGCCTCCACAGGCTCATATGTCTGAATACTTGGTCCCCAGTTGGTGGAACTGGTGGGAAGAATTACAAAGTGTGGCCTTGTTGGAGGAGGTGCGTCACTGGGGCAGGTGAAGCTTCAAAAGCCCACACCATTCCCAGTTAGTGCCCTCTCTCTCTCTGCCTCTTCCTTGTAGATTGGATGTGAGCTCTCAGCTACTGCTCCAGCACCAGGCCTGCCTGTTGCTATGTTCCCTACCATGACGCTATGGGCTCTAACCCTCAGACACCAAGAGTCCCAGGTTAAATGCTTTCTTTTATGAGTTGCCGTGGCTAAGGTGTCTAAGACAGTTGTACAGACATTTGTTGAAGAAATGCTTATGAGGTTTATAAGTCTGAAAGTCTCATGTATGATCCCATGGTTAGTCTAATCTTATCTTTCTACCAGTTCCTACTGAAAAACAACATTTGAAAAAACATTTCCCCATTACAACATCTTCATCATTTCTAAATTCTAGATTCGTGTCTTGCAATGCATGTTTCTTTTCCTATGACTGGTGTGCGCCTTGGGAAAGTCTGTGTAGATATGCCCCATTTTGCTTTGCTTATCTTGCATACTTGTTATAGTCTGATTTCTAGGGTTCTTTAAGCCCAGGAAATTAAAAATTAACTTTTAAATGTTACAAAATTTTCTGTATTAAAACAACCAAAACAAGCTGATTGGTGGGGGTAGCTATCGAAAGCCAGAAAAATGGCTTAAAGGGTAAATATGTTTGTCACCAAGCCTATATATGATTCCCAAAACATACATGGTACTTAAAAGAGAAAATTAGCTCCTGCAAGTTGTCCTCTAACTTCCACATATACAGAGATGAAAAAAATATATAATAAAAATTTAACTGAAAATCTTTTGAAAAGACATCAAGATCCTGGCAGAGTGCATAAAGAGACCATTCAATCTAATATGTCCTCTACTCAGTCAGCACACAAATCCATTAATATAAAATTGTCTTAGATTTTTACTTTGGCTATATTGTCTTATTATGACCAACTTTTCTGTTACTAATCTTTCAAAACATTTTGCTCCACCTCTACCCAACATTTAATCCTATGACACACCTAAAAAGACCTTAATAACACATAATCACTTCTCAGCCTAAGACATTTATTTAGGAAAAAGCATAGCTTTGTGCATATTTTCTGCAGTGAATTGTTTATTGGCAGGGCTGAGGACTGAAGCCAGGGACTCACTAATACTACAGCACTCTAGGTTTCGGCTAGCATCCCAGGCGCATAGTAAAATCACACAAGCAACTGAGATGGAGAAATGGCTTAGCAGTTACGAGTACTTGCTGCATAGTCATGAGGACCAAAGTTTGGATCCCAACAGCCATATAACAAACTAGGAACTCTGTACATGCCTGTAAAAGTAGCTCAGAGATGGGTAGAAACAGGGGGATTGCTGAGACTTGGTGGCTTCCAGCCTAGCCCAGAAAATACTAAAGCTCAGCATGTAGGTGCACACGCACATATGTGCATGCACATGCTCGCAAGAGCAAACATATACACAAATCAAATTAAAACTATGTATTCTTATAATAGGCATATGAGTGTTTTGTCTGCATGTCTGTGCACCACATGTATGCCTGTAGAGGTCCAAAGGGGATGTCAGTCAATCAACATGTGGGCTTCTGCAAGAGACATCACTCCAGAGCCCCCTACAGATAAATCTTTAAAGACATAAGTAAAATAAACATTAAAATGGCAGTTACTAGATAAAGTTTCACTTTAGGGCTAGGTACGTGCTAACTCTCCTCCTAGCCCTGCATCCAGACTGTAGCCAATGGCTTTCCTTTGCAGTTGTTTGCTTTCATTGGTTAAAGAAGACAGTTCCCTTCAAGGCTGGGAAGACAGCCAGAGCAGAATGCTTGCCTGCCTTGTTTGAGCACTTAGGTTTAGTCCCTAGTTCCATAAACACAAAATAATTTTGTACTTTTCTTTGTTATTTTTCAAGACAGGGTTTCTCTGTCTAGCCCTGGCTGTCCTGCAGCTCACTCTGTAGACCAGGCTGTCCTCGAACTCACAGACATCGCCTGCCTCTGCCTCCCAAGTACGAGGAATAAAGGTGTGCGCCACCACTACCCAGCTGCACTTTATTTTTTTAATTCAATCACAGACTTTAAAAGCCAGGTATGGTGAAACATTCATATATAATCTCATCACTTGAGAAACAGTTTGAAGCCAGTCTGGGCTACAGCATTTCCAAAGCCAGATGGTGGGCGGATGGAATAGGGTGATACTCCATTGAAAGGCCTTACCTGTTGTCTTGGTAGTTGTCTGGGTGGTGGTCCAGCACATCCTGCATGAAGCGTTCCATCAAACTGTCGTCGGCAGTCGTCCGACGCCGACTCTGTCTGGTCAGGTCTCTGTGCTGGGCACTAAGCAAGTGCTGCAAGAGAAGCAGTGGGTATTCTAAATGAGTAACCGCCATTCACGCCAACAGAACGGACTCATGTATGTATTGCAGAAATGTAAGTTGATATTCTTTCCATGTAGCACTTCTAATATATGTATCTAAAACCGTAATAATGTGTCTCCCTAAATATAGTTACGTTCCTCTAAATACAAAGAACGACATCAAAAAGTATACTTAATACACCATATATAGTATTTAACTGGAAGCTGCATAATATTCTTAAATTATAATGTAGACTAAAATGTAATACCATGCAGCTACCTAAAATAATAAAGAAACCATAATAAAAATAAATACTATGTATTAAAAGAAAAATTGTATGTATGGCTCTGTCTGAAACTACAGTTTAAATATATACAGACAAGCAAATGGAAGAAAATGTACTAAAATCTTAAAAGTATGCTTTTAAGTGATATGGTTATGGAGAATTTTTAATTTTTCTTAAAATTTTTATATTTTCCAGTGAGTATTTTTACAATAAAAAAAAAACTGTGAAGAGAGAACAGGGTTGGATTATGGTATTATAAAAGAACAAAGATTAACTCCAAAAATGCTTCATTTCTTTTTCTTCAGTGACTAAGAAGAATCCTGCCTTGGCAGAATATTAGTGTAAGCACATTAAAGCCTTCAGCTTTACACAGGCACCCGTATTAGTGGATTAGCAACATGATAACAGGCTAAAACAGACCATATGCCACACACAGGGCTCTTCAATCCAGCTTAAAAGCTTACTGTGTTTGCACTCTGCAAGAACAGCGCCCTCTTTTGACACAAAGAGAGTGGGGCACAAATATAAAATAAAAGCAAACAGCAAAGCCAGGATCTGAATGTGAGCCAAACTGCAGGTTATAAGCTTTCCATTGTTACGCAGCTAGTATAAATGGCGTATTAATTGCATATGTTCCTTATAATACAATGACATGCTTTAGCGACATTTTTAAATCATGTTTTAATATAGTTAAGGACTATTTTAAAAAAATAAGTTGCTAATTCCTGACCACTGTTACAGCTCTTGGAATTATTTCCTGTCATGCTGACATGAGACTTTTTCTTCAGTGTTACCTTATCCCCAGGAGCAATCAAGTAGGACATCTCCAGATCCTCTTGCTACAACTCCCCCACTGTCCAGTGTCCATCACCAGAGCTAGATAAAGGACAAGTGGACAAGGGAACAAAGTCTCAACTGAAACCTAATCTTGTCCTTTGCTAAGGCAAGAGAGAGGACAATGTGCACGGAGTAGCACATCTGTGTAAGCTGCAGGTGCCACCACAACAGACAAGCTCACACGGCTTTACATACAGATCACATAGAACACAAAATACTCATATGTGGCACACTAAACCGTCACAGAATAAACACATCCATAACCATCTATCCCCAAATATAAGCACCTAGAAATCCCTCTTCTGTCTTACACCAATCTAACATCTCTTCTCTCTTCCCCAAGTCTAACTATCACCCTGATTTCTAATGCTATGATTTGGAAAGGTTCTAAAATTGACATAAGTAACACGATACAACATGTATTTGTTTGCACTGAACTTCTCTCAGGCAACAATGCATTCATAACACTATTCAACATTAGCTGTATTCTGCTCATCTTCATGTACACATCTGTATTCTCTTGTATGAAAGTATCAAAGTTTATGCATTCTGCTCTTGATGGATTTTGTACATTACAAACAATGCTGCAAAGAATCTCATTGTCTTGTGTGACAAGGCACGCACATTGATATATTACTAGCGGTACAACTTTTGTGTCATACAATACACGTATGCTTAGCTTCAGTACCTACTCTTCCAATGTGACTGCAACAGTCTATGCCTCAACCAAGAGTCTATCTTATCTTTGCATTGCTCTACTTCACTGACTCTTGGTATTCTGTTTTTCACATCTTAGCAATTGTGGAAGGTGTTCAATGCCATATATTGTGGCCTCAATCCACAATCTGATGATAGCTTTTAATTTTTACTGGCAATCCAGATTGTCTCTAGTTATGTGTCCATTCAAATTTCATCCTGATGTTGGTTTTTTAAGACAGGCTCTTCATTATGAAGTCCAGGCTAGCCTTGAATTCAATATCAGCTCCAGAATATTGGATTACAAGCAAATGCCACCACGCTAGCTCTTTTTCCTGTTTTTCAAACAGATGTCTTCTTCTTTATTAACTTGTAGAATTTACTTGTTCTGGGTATAATCTCTTCATTCAAGTATCATCTTCCTCTCTGTAACTGGTCTTGTCTTCTCACTTCCTCTCTGTGGCTGGTCTTGTCTTCTCACTTCCTCTCTGTGGCTGGTCTTGTCTTCTCACTTCCTCTCTGTGGCTGGTCTTGTCTTCTCACTTCCTCTCTGTAGCCGGTCTTGTCTTCTCACTTCCTCTCTGTGGCTGGTCTTGTCTTCTCACTTCCTCTCTGTAGCCGGTCTTGTCTTCTCACTTCCTCTCTGTGGCTTGTCTGTCTTCTCACTTCCTCTCTGTGGCTGGTCTTGTCTTCTCACTTCCTCTCTGTAGCCGGTCTTGTCTTCTCACTTCCTCTCTGTAGCCGGTCTTGTCTTCTCACTTCCTCTCTGTAGCCGGTCTTGTCTTCTCACTTCCTCTCTGTGGCTGGTCTTGTCTTCTCACTTCCTCTCTGTAGCCGGTCTTGTCTTCTCACTTCCTCTCTGTAGCCGGTCTTGTCTTCTCACTTCCTCTCTGTAGCTGGTCTTGTCTTCTCACTTCCTCTCTGTAGCCGGTCTTGTCTTCTCACTTCCTCTCTGTGGCTGGTCTTGTCTTCTCACTTCCTCTCTGTGGCCGGTCTTGTCTTCTCACTTCCTCTCTGTGGTTGGTCTTGTCTTCTCACTTCCTCTCTGTGGTTGGTCTTGTCTTCTCACTTCCTCTCTGTGGCTGGTCTTGTCTTCTCACTTCCTCTCTGTGGTTGGTCTTGTCTTCTCACTTCCTCTTTGTAGCCGGTCTTGTCTTCTCACTTCCTCTCTGTGGCTGGTCTTGTCTTCTCACTTCCTCTCTGTGGCTCGTCTTGTCTTCTCACTTCCTCTCTGTAGCTGGTCTTCTTACTTCCTTCCTGCAGCCGGTCTTCTCATTTCCTTAATCATCTACCACCTTCTTAATTTTATTGCAGCCAACTTTCCTAATTTTTTTTCATGCTCTTTTTTGTTCTTGTTGTTAGCTGAAAGCTCCTCCTCACAAATCATGAAGTCTCTCTTGTCTGATATTAGTTCCTTTATTATGTTTCCTACAACACTCGCATCTATAAATCATTTGGAATGATTTTTACACACAGAATGATTTGACAGAACAGTTTTAATTTTTTCCCAACTAGCTATCAATTGGCACACCAGCATTTACTAGCAGCAAGTCTTGTTCCTGGTTGCTCTGCAATGTCACCGTTGCCACAGATCCAATACAGTCATCTATCTCGGGAGCGCGTTTCTGCGCCTTTTCTAACTTTACACCAACACCACCTTGTCTAAAGAGTAAAGGCGAGTAAGAATGGTTATCTGGTGGACTACATTCTCCCACTTAGATCTTCTTCAATATTACCTGGTTCTCATCTTTTTCATTTCCGTATTTACATTGGCTTAATTTTCATTAGGATTTATGTGATTTTTTTTACTGTAATTTCATTGGGTAAGTACAAATATTTGGGGAAATTGGACATTTTTAATAATAACTCTTTCAATCCATGAAAATATTAGGTCCCTCTCCCACCTAGTGCTAGGGATTAAACATAGGGCCTAAAGAATGCTAAAGCAAGCACACTATCACTGAGCTAAATCCTCAGCCTTCAGTGTTTACAGGTTATATGTAAAGATTTTATATATATTTCATTATAATTAGTCCTCAGCATTTTATATTCATTGATGTTATTGTAAATGATTTAGGTCTCATCTTCTGCAGAGTATCTGTATATATGAATATGATTTTTCTGTTGCTCCAACCATCATGGGTTTTTTGTTTTTTAGCCAAAGGCTCCCCAATGGTATCCAGGCTAATCCCAAATGCATAGAAAGAATCAAAGATCCTCCTACCCCAGCCTCCTCAGAAGACAGAACCACAGACATTCGCGACCACGCCCGGCTCCGACAGGCTTTAACCACAGTCATTCATTCTAAGAGTTCATCTCTTTAGTTTCTAGTCCGTCATCATGTTATGACAAATAACTGTTTTTTATCTTCTTACCCAATTATCTTTATCATTTTAGTCATTTTTATCTTTATCTTTCTTATTTCTATGGCGAAGACCTCCCATAAAGCCTTAAATATAGTTTTGTTGAGTTGCTGCCATACACAGCATGCAAGTGCCCTACCATGAAAGTAAACATGCACACACACGGCCATTGAACACAGTTTTAATTCAAGCCGTAAGTCTATGTTCACTTGGGTATGCTCGGAACTCTGTTATTTCTTATTCTTTTGTTTTTATTTATTTATTATGTATACAATAGTCTGTCTGTGTGTATGTCTGCAGGCCAGAAGAGGGCACCAGACCTCATTACAGATGGTTGTGAGCCACCATGTGGTTGCCGGGAATTAACTCAGGACCTTTGGAAGAGCAGGCAATGCTCTTAAGCACTGAGCCATCTCTCCAGCATGTTATTTCTTATTCTTATGAGTAGTTTCTCTTCTTTCTTCCTCTTTATTATTCTGATTTCCCCATTTTGATAGCTCAGTAGTCACAGACCCTCTTCCTAGTCTACTAGAAGGATCAAATGACAAGTCTAAACTATCAAAGTATAAAATTATTCTCTATTTTATTCTCCTCAACAACTGAAGATCCTTAGAAATTAACTCCACTTACTACCCTCCCAAACTACATCGCTATTAATCCCACAAACATGATTTATTGATTGCCTACATATTTACCTGTCCATTGTTCTTCATTACTTCCTGATAGCTCTGAGCTTCCATCTGGAATCATTTTCCTTCTGCCTGAAGAACTCCTTTTAGTTTTTCCTTTAGTGGGGGTCTGCTGGTGAC